GCTTTCAGTCTTATACATGGGCTGTGGAAACCACTCCCTCCCCTTCCTCAGCAGAGGAGAGGCCAAGCCTGCAATGGGTGCTGTTGGTCCAGGTCCTCTGAAAGAGCAGTGTCCTTAACTGCTGAGCCATCTCTCCAGCCCCTCAAGGCTTTTTCCTTGTTTTGTTTTTGTTTTTTTTTGTTTTTTTTCCGAGACAGGGTTTTTTTTGTGTAGTCCTGGCTGTCCTGGCACTCACTTGGTAGACCAGGCTGGCCTAGAACTCAGAAATCTGCCTGTCTCTGCCTCCCAAGTGCTGGGATTACAGGCGTGCACCACCACTGCCCGGCTCAAGGCTTTTTCCTAAGTCAAACTTGATACCGTATCGGAGTCTCCTGCATGGTACTGGTTTTGGTGTCATGAACGGTATAGGACTGAAGGGGTCATAGACAAAAGCATTGGCTTGTCATTTATAAGAGTCCAAGAGAGTCCATTGGTGAAGGTACAGTCTCAGTTACAGTGGGGACCCTAAGGTTGAAAGAGTCATGGAACGAAGTTAGAAAAGAAAGGTTATGGGGTTGGAGAGATGGCTCAGAGGTTAAGAGCACTGCTGTTCTTCCAAAGGTCCTGAGTTCAATTCCCAGCAACCACATGGTGGCTCACAACCATCTATAATGAGATCTGGTGCCCTCTTCTGGCCTGCAGACATACATGCAGGCAGAACACTGTATACATAATAAATAAAAACAGAAAAGAAGGTTATAGCTTAATAGTGATGGTTTGTTTGTCAAGTTGATGCAAACCTAGACATAGAAAAAGATGAGAAAGAGGGGATGTCGACTGAATTGCCCCCCTCAGACTGGCCTGTGGGAATGTCTGTGCGACATTTTCTTGCTTCATGGTTGAAGGTGGCCTAGCCCGCTGTGAATGGTGCTTTTAGGCAGGTGGGCCTAGGTTTAAGAAAGATAACTGAGAAATCCAGGAGGGAAGCAAGCCACTAAAATAACAGCATCCTTCCATGTCTCTGCTTCAGTTCCTGCCTCGGGTCAGTGCTTAGTCACAGTGACAGAAAGCAAGCTAATACATACAGCCTGGAGTAGGGGTTCCCCTTTCCCATGGGGTCCTACACGCTTTAAGCCTGGTGACCTCCATGTGCTATTGGTAAGAAGCTGGGCCAGCAGATAGCAGGAGGGATCTACCCCTGTGCAGGCCAGGTCCAGCCTGTTCACACCTCTGGCCCCTTAGTTCCAGCGCTTGGGACAGATTCCAGCCTAGACAATGGCTTCTCCCCTTTCTTGATCATCTTGCTCCAGTCTCCAAGGCCTGTGTGGGGTGCATTCTTCTCAGCTTTCAGACTTGTGCACGAGCTGTGGAAACCACTCCCTCCCTCTCCTTCCTCAGCACAGGAGAGGCCAAACTTACAGTGGGTGCTGTTGGGCTACCCCTGAAGCATTTAGGAGGAGGGGTCTGAGGCTGGCCGCCAGCACTGTGGGCTGAGCTGGGCATGCAGATAGATAGCAGGCGATATGGAACTTCTGGCTGCTGGCCAAGAGTGAATGAGAAGTGTTGTGAGGTGTGTTTTTCTTGGGATGGAATAATCCAGGGCTTCATATATTCTTGAGAAGGGCTCCAGCATCAGCTGCAGCCCAGTCCTAGGACTTCATTTCTGACAAGCCAGGATTCAACACAGATGAATAAGGAACTTCTTCCTGCATCATCTTACCCTTGGGCTGAGGTACTTTGAGTATACACAACACTGCAAGTGACCCGGGCAGAGATAAGATTGGTGGTGACAGTGAAGTTGGGGTGTTTTCAGGTGAGGAGGGACTACAGCTGGTAGAGTTAGGCAGTAAAGGTAGGTTGGAGAGGGTGGTGGGCGGGAACCTATGAAGAGAGAATGGCCCTTGGGACCTTCAGGGCAGAGGTGATTTGTTGGTCCATAAGAGTGCTTTGCTGAGGAGGTGTCCTGTGACAGCTTGCCAGGTACTGCTGGGAGCTCATTGCTGGGCCTGGCGGGGCTATGGAGGAACCCTGTCAAGCCCTGAGGGTTAGAATGAACAATTCCAACACTTCACAGATCCAAAGTTCACAGTATCCTCTGGACTCAAGGCAGACCATTAACATCTGTAAGAGCTACCAAGTTACTTCCAATATAAAATAACAGTATCATTCCTTTTTAAAATTTATTTACCTACCTACCATGTATCTATCTATTATTACTTTTTAAAGGTTTTTTATTTATTTGATATATGTAAGTACACTGTAGCTGTCTTCAGACACCCCATAAGAAGGCATCAGATCTCATTTGAACTCATGATCTCTGGAAGAACAGTCAGTGCTCTTAACCGCTGAGCCATCTCACCAGCCCTCTATTATTTTTTGAGACAAGGTCTCACTATATAGCTCTGGCTGTCCTGAAACTCTTTATGTAGGCCAGGCTGGCCTTGGACTCACAGAGATTCACCTGCCTCTGCCTCCCAAGTGCTGCAATTAAAGGTGTGCGCCACTACATCCTGTGACATTCCTATCCTAAAAGGAAAGAATGGGTCAAAGCAAAAGGACAAACATTAAATCCTATAGCTATATGCTCAACATTTGAAGGCATCTGTAATATGCTCAATATTTGCAGCATACAGTGGCAGTCTGAGCTCTGCCAGGCAGGTGGCCCTGTCCAAATGGCTTGCTGTTGGCAGATCACATGGCTTCTCTGGGGTCGACTCCACTTCCTAGGCTATAGATTTTCCAAGTTCCCGGCATTGCCAATGACCAAGTCCTTGCTGTAGCTTGGGCTTCGTTTGGAACCTGATTCTGTTACAAACCCTGTTGCCTGCTGGGCTTTTCTCAGAAATCTTGGTAGAAGCCTGTATGAAGCCGTTACTCTTGTATTCTCCACCCCAGCAAATCTGCTACCATACAGATGATGCTAAGTTCAGGTGGCCCCCTTGTACACAGCTACAGATACCTGAAACCATGAGGCCGTATGGTTAGGTAGCCTTTGGCCACAGGTAGCAGCTTTTCAGAAGAGTTGACGGTTTCACACCGTGGAACCTGGTAGAGCCAGCTCACTGCATTAAAGGCCCCCAAGGACCTTTCTTATTTTCCAAGTGCTAATTATGCAACTTCTAATTAAAGTTACTAGTCTCTTAATTATATTTAAACAAGCTGCCTTTCTGCTCTACTTACATGTCTACATCTTTGCTTCGATTTTTCTTCCCAATTCTGTGATGTAAATCTGACCAAAGGCAGCCAGCAATAGCCATGACACAGCCTGGATGCTGTGTTGCCTTAAATTTTATCCCACAAAATTGATTAGTTCATTCCTTTTGAATTTAGCCTTTCTCACGGTTTCTGGATGCAGGCAACATTCGGACAGATTCCATGCCAGAATGACCCCAGTCTGACTTCCTATGGGATAACTGTTCCAATCTGAAATCTCATGTCTGTGTACCACATAGATGCCTGGTGCCCATGGAAGCCAGAAGACGGTGTTGAAACTCCTGGGACTGGAGTTACAAACTTGTGAGCTTCCACGAGGGTGCTGGGAATCAAAGCTGGGTCCTCTGGAAGAGCGGCTTGTGTCTTTAAGCTGAGCCAGCCCTCCAGCCTCCTGTCCACATTTTTTTTTGTTGTTTTTTTTTTTTTTTTTTTTGTTTTTGTTTGTTTTTCGAGACAGGGTTTCTCTTTATAGCTCGGGCTGTCCTGGAACTCACTCCGTAGACCAGGCTGGCCTCGAACTCAGAAATCCACCTGTCTCTGCCTCCCAAGTGCTGGGGTTAAAGGCGTGCGCCACCACTGCCCGGCTCCTGTCCACATTTATAGTTGTATTTCATGTGTATTTGTGTGTATGTGTATGCGCGTGGGCCGTGGTACGGACGTGGAGGTCAGAGGACAGTGTGGAGCCTCCTCTCCTTCCATCTTCACATCAGGTTCCAGGGATGAGAATCAGGTTATCATGTGGGAGATGCTTTATGCAGGGGAGCATCTTGATGTCATCATTGCCCATATTTCTAGTTGAGTCCTGGTCTTTCACGCTTGTATCAGAACGGCCCAGCAAGCTCCACCTCCAGTTTCTAGATTTTTTTTTTTTTTTCCGAGACAAAGTCTCTCTGTGTAGCCCTGGCTGTCCTGGAACTCACTCTGTAGACCAGGCTGGCCTCGAACTCAGAAATCTACCCGCCCCTGCCTCGCAAGTGCTGGGAGCAAAGGCGTGCGCCGCCACCACCCGGCTAGATTTCTTTTTTTAAGATTTTTTTTTTTATTTAATGTATAAGTATCTATATGTACACAATATATGAGTATCTGTATATTCATATACACCTGCATACCAGAAGAAGGCCCAAGATCTCTATCTATAGTGAGATGGTGTGACTCACTATGTGGTTGCTGGGAATTGAACTCAGGACCTCTGGAAGAGCAATCAGTGCTCTTAACGACTGAGCCATCATCTCCATGACATCTCTTCTAGACTTTTCTAACCTACATGTCCCAATCTTCCACATTCCTTTCACACCAGTTCTAGAGTTCGGGGACCATGTGATTAGCTTTAGTGTCAGCAGTAGCCCAACTACTTTGGTATCAGATATTTTTCTTTTTTTTGAGACAGGGTTTCTCTGTGTAATAGTCCTGGCTGTCCTGGAACTTATGATGTAGATCAGGCTGGCCTCTAGCTCAGCTCTTCCAGCCTCTGCCTCTTGAGGGCTGGGATTAAAGGTGTGCGCCTCAGTCTGTGGTGACAGGAGCATGCTGGCAAAGCCTGTTCGAGTTACGGCGGACAGGAACTAGGTCTTCAAGGCTCCTTTCTAGTGACCCAGTTCCTCCAGCTAGGCCTCACTGTCTAAAGGTTCCACATGTCCCCAAAATGGTGCCACCAGCTGGGACCAAGCTTCCAAAACACGAGTCTGTTGGGGAAGACATTTCAAGTTTCAAACGTGAAGAGCTGGTCACAGACACACCTCTGCATCACCTGCTGTACCTCACATGGGAGGGACCCAGTGTCTGATGTCACACTCTCTGTCCCCCTGCAGGTATTCCACGTGGCCTATGTGCTCATCAAGTTTGCCAACTCGCCTCGGCCTGACCTCTGGGTGCTGGAGCGATCCACAGACTTCGGCCACACCTATCAGCCATGGCAGTTCTTTGCCTGTGAGTGTCCCGAGCTGCAGGACTGGAGTCCTTGCCATGGGGCTGTAGTTGCTTCAAGGCCCCTGATGACAAGCCCTGACCCTTGTGATAGTCTCTTTAAGGTTCATTGCTGCCAGCGCTCCCTAGGGGTAGAGGGGAGCTTATCGACTCCCATGCTCGACATTGGACATAGCTGGTGTCACACTGGTGGTACCAGGAATCTTTGGGCCATTTTATGGCTCCTTTAGATAGGCCTCAGCTCAGGTTCCCGTGGTAACAAAGCAGCTCTGGCAGCTGTGGGCCTACCTCCTGCCAGCTTTACTGCCTGTGGCAGGAGACAGCTGGAGTCCTTGGCAGGCCTGGCCACATGCCACCTGACCAGTTATGTTGCCAGGGTGGGGGTACTCTGATTAGATAGGCCTGGTGACACATCCCCCAAAACTCGTGGGGCAAGAGAGGGAGAGGGGCGGCTGCAGACTGTGCCTGTAGAGAGGTATCTGTTACCCCACCTTCTCATCCATTTCCTCTAGCCTCCAAGAGGGATTGTTTGGAGCGGTTTGGCCCTCGGACTCTAGAACGCATCACGCAGGATGATGACGTCATCTGCACCACGGAATACTCTCGAATAGTGCCTCTGGAGAACGGCGAGGTGGGGGTGCACAGCCATACTTATCTGGGGGAGTGGTGGGTCCCTGTTGTTTCCAAATCTGGCCTCATCTGCCACGCCTTCTGCAGATTGTGGTGTCCTTGGTGAACGGGCGCCCTGGGGCCATGAACTTCTCCTACTCTCCTCTCCTTCGAGACTTCACCAAGGCCACCAACATCCGCCTGCGGTTTCTTCGAACCAACACGCTACTGGGACACCTTATGGGCAAGGCGCTGCGGGACCCCACCGTCACCCGCAGGGTGAGCACGTGGGTGTGGTTGGTTTCTTGTAGAGAGGGTCTGGGCAGGTGGCATGGTCAGGTGACAACTGTCGCTCATGACCTCCACTGCAGTATTATTATAGCATCAAAGACATCAGCATCGGTGGTCGCTGCGTCTGTCATGGCCACGCAGATGTCTGTGACGCCAAGGACCCCTCGGATCCTTTCAGGTGAGACCTTTGGCTAGCCTCATCTACCTACCTGCCTGTCACAGCTCTGGCTTCCCAATGGGACCTGCACTGGCTGCTACTGTGAGTCTCTGTTTCCATCTGAAGAGGGAGAACTATGTGGGCCTTCCAGGTTGTCCTGGTCTTGGGTGACAGCTTACCTGATGCCACGGTCCAGGACCTTTGAGATGGACATCAGTGATAGCCACTATCCCTTGTTACGCATCTGTATCCCTAGGTGGATATGTACCATTTGTCCAGGCAGCCCACCCCAGCTCTACTAACCATCCCCAGGGCACAAAGACTCTCTGTTGCCTTTCTCCTTGACCTGTACCCCACTCAGGGAAAGGGCCAAGGTCAAGGACAGGACCAGTGAGTGTTCCCCATTTAATGTAACCAGTGTTTTTGTAGTTAGGGCCAGCCAAGGGCTCTGACCTCTTGTGAGTAAGTAGTACTTTAGCCTGTCTCTGGGCCTGACATCCAAGCTCCCATAACCTACTCAGAGCCAGCTGATTAGGCAGGAAATACCCAGTATCTACCCCACCACCAGATGCCATCACACAATTTATATCTGAGTCTAGAGCCCCTGGTGGCCTGACCCCCCCAAAGCCCTTACCTAAATGGATGACTGGAGCCTGGCACCATAGCCCTTTTCTGCCTGGAAACTGTTCTCAGGACATAGCCTGTCCTCCCTTTCCTCTTCCTTTCCTTCCCTTCCCCGTGGCAGCAGCCAAATATTGAGCTACTAACAGACAAAGCCCCGTGGGCATAAATAAGCACAGCTGCTCTGAGGAGCTAGCCAGGATCCATCACTCCCCACCTCCACAAGCCACGAGTCAGAACAAATCGGGGACAGGCGAGGATAGAGCCGTAGGGTGGAGCTGGCAGTGGGTAGGTAGACACTCATGTCCTACCCCCTCCCCTCAGCCTGCCCCAGAACACTCCCACAAGATGCAAGCATCTCACCTGCCGCCACCTCCATTGCCGCAAAGTTTTTGAGCTGAGCTCAGTATAGGGCCTCTACTGCGGCCTTACAGTTTTAGCACAGGCTCCAGGTTATAGAGGAAGTAGGTGAAGCCAAGACACTGGGATGAGAGCTCACGCGCGCACACACACACACACACACACACACACACATAGGTACGCACATGCACGAATATACACAAACACACTGACAGAACAACTTAAGCATGTATGGCATGGTGCCCCTGGCTGAAGGATCACACACACACACACACACACACACACACACACACACACGTACACACACACAAGCACATGCCCATGCACACACACACTGTGATGAAGCTGTCTCCTCAGAGCAACCTAAGCAGGTATGGTATGGTGTCCCTAGCTGAAGGACTTGGGCAGGCAGGCTGCAGTCCTAGCCTTCTGGGGACAATTGTGGGAATGAGTCTTTGGCAGTGCAGCTCCAGGCACTGCTAATTGCCCAGGGAAATTAAATGCCAAGTGGAGTATGGCTCCCTATGGCTAGGAATGGATAGAGCCCATTAGTAAACCAAATTAGCCTTAGAGGAAGTGGGGCCCCAGCTTCTGGGTCCGTCCTTACCTGCTGGGAGAGGCTCACCACTGTGCCTGCCTCACGCGTTCAGACCTGAGTTGAGCCCAGCCCTCCCTTCAGGACTTGAAGAATGGATTATGCTGGCATTTTCCCCAGAGCCACAGACTTCAACAAAATATTATCTCAGAGCTCCAGCCTGTGCTCTCAAGCCAGCCAATGTGTTCTTCCATTCCTCACTTGCTGCCTCTCTAGAGATGAGGTCGTCTGTTCCTGCAGCAGAGAGGGGAGATCCCGTTGCTGCCTTTCCCTCATCCTGTCCATCCAGTGTGGTCCCCACCCCTACTTGTCCATACCATGGCTCTACCTCTGATGAAGAAACTAAGTCTTGTGCACGCTAAGCAAGCGCTGTACCAGTGAGCCCCAGCCCAGTGTTCTTGCTATTTGTTTTGTACAGGCTTGTCTTGAACTGACTCTGAAGTCTGGACAGACTTTCTGTCTCAGTCTCCAGAGAAACTGTGATGACAGAGTGTCCTACGAGGCCTGGCATGGCAGCCTGTATTCTGTCACAGACAAACCCAGATGTGCAGAGATACCCTGGCTTCTCCCCATGTGACCTGGTCCTCAACCCCACATCCTTCCCACCTGGGACACTGGTCTCTCTTTAGCGCCTCTGTCGCCCTCTTGTTCCTGGTTCCTGTTTTCACGGGTCTCTTGCTCCGCTGGTTTGCTTTCTGTTTTCTGCAGTGTGCCTGCACTTAGTGGGTGACCGTCTGCCACTCACCTTTGGAAGATGGCTGCTGGACTAGGGCATTGTTGGCTTTGATTCTTTTCTGATGACTGTTCCTTCAGACCTGGGTCAGCATTAGGTCCTTGTCGGGTCCAGGGTCTCTTGAGCTGATGTTGGTGTTGCTGCTGTGTTTTTATACCTCTGCTTGTATGTCCTGTGGGTCCAGTCGGAAGCCTGAAGGGGGTGTTTCTGGTTCTGAGATCTCAGAATGCATGTGTCTTTGTTAACTGGGTGGCCATGATCTTCCTTGCTGCCCTCTGTGCTTTCACACAGTGATCGTCCGTCTTCTGAGAACACCTTGTGTTTTCCTTTTGTCTCTTCTCAGTGGCCTTCCCTGAGAGAATGTCCTCTCAGAGAATGTCCCCGTTAGCTCTGTCTGTGTGCCTTGTACTTGAGGAGGGCAGAAGAAGGTGTCAGATCCATGTGGGTACTGTAAATCAAATCAGGGCCTTGGAAAAGTAGCCAGTGCTCTTAACCACTGAGCCATCTCGCCAGCGTCAGTCTTTGTTTCCAAAGTCTCACTGTGCAGCTCTGGTTGGCCTGGAATTCGCTATTTATACAAGATTAGCCTAGATCTCACAGATCCACCCGAGTCTGCCTCCCAACTCCTAAGATTAAAGGCATGCTCCACCACACTGAACTTGGCTTTTTTTTTTTTTTAATAATTTAATAATTGCATTTTTTTCAATTCTAGAAGTTCTAACTAGTCATTTTTCCACATCTGCCTATTTTTAGATTCCTTTGTTTATAGTCATTCTGAAACATTCTTTTACAGCATCTACCAGATTGCTTCATTAAACGAGTTGGGCCCAAGTCTACCATGTGTGGCATCTGTAGACCCCTCTTGTGTCCTTCCCTTGCAAGGTCTCCTTAGGGGCTCTGTCTCCCAAGGGGAGAAGCCCCCAGGGTGGACTTGTAAAGGTTTGTACCCATTGGCCAGCCTTACACCCCTTTATACTGCCTTCTTCCCTTATTAGCTCAGGGGTGCTTCTTGGCCATGTCGATTGCTCAAAATGAGATGCTGGCTGCAGACCTGTGGCTCTGCCTCAGCTGGGTTAGTCTGAATGGCTGCTGCCTATCTGTCCTGACAGCTAGTTCGTTCCTTCTCCTACACTGAAGCTAAGGCTTTCCCAGAAGCCTTTGGGATGGAACAGGAAGCAGAATTGCCTCTCAAGGCCCTGGGACCCCCTGACAGGGATCAGTGGGAGTCAAGCTTGATGGTTTGAGGCTCTGAGTTCCTGGTTCCTGGCATGCACAGTAGGCTTCTGGCCTCTTGCTCAGGAAATTCGTATGCTGCCCCTTTGAACGGGCTGGCTGTGACCCCGCCACACGCCGGTAGAACGTGGGAGGTGTTGGTTTATACAATGCAGATGCTCCAGTCTTGCGCTCATCCCCAGCCAGCTGTCCCCCTGCCCACTGGGACAGCGGCGGGCCTCCAGCCTTTGGAAAGAGGAAGTCGTTCTTGGCCACTAGCCTCTGGGGAGATGCCCTAGATATATGGGGGTGTCTGACTGACAGGATTTCACAAACTGGGTAAGATCCAGATCTCTTGGAACCAATGTATTCCTCCCTTAGACCTGGATCAAGGTTTGGGTGCAGGTAATATTGAGAGGGCCAAGGTTCCACCTGTGTTAGCGCCTAGGCCCCACCCCAGCATCAACACACACCTTGTCCCTCTCTGCTGACACAGGGAATCTGTCTCTTTTTCCCCCTTTCTCTAAGGCTCAAGCCATGTGCAGAGCCATTACAATGGGAGTCGACAGTCTGGACCAGAGCTTACTGCATGACAGCTGGGAAACTGGGACGGGGGGGGGGGGGGACCCTGTGCCCACAGAGCAGGCCGGATATGCCCAAGGACATACCACCCACCTCGTCTCTAGCCCTCTGACGCAGGGGTGGCCCCTGACTCTTCTCTGTCCCTTCATAGGCTGCAGTGTGCCTGCCAGCACAATACATGTGGAGGTTCTTGTGACCGGTGCTGTCCAGGCTTCAACCAGCAGCCGTGGAAGCCCGCCACCACGGACAGCGCCAACGAGTGCCAGTGTGCGTATACCACACTAGTATTCGCTGCCTGCGCCCATGGCTCACACAGACTTATGTCCCAGGGGTTCCAGGGCTATGGAAGCCATGCTAACCGTTGGCCCTGACTCCGCAGCCTGCAACTGCCATGGCCATGCCTATGACTGTTACTACGACCCTGAGGTGGACCGGCGCAATGCCAGCCAGAACCAGGACAATGTGTACCAGGGTGGGGGTGTCTGCCTTGATTGTCAGGTGAGCTAAGCAAAGGCTAACCTGGTATAGATGGCCGTAGAACGAGACAGGGACATGCCTAGACTTAGGGAGCTCTGTGTCTGTGTCTCCAGCATCACACCACAGGTATCAACTGTGAGCGCTGCCTGCCTGGCTTCTACCGTGCCCCTGACCAACCACTGGACTCGCCTCATGTCTGTCAGCGTAAGTAGAGCTATGTTCCTAAGCCTTGGAGACTGTGAGTCTTAGGGTCGGTCTGTCTTAGCTGTTGTATCTCCCAGATCTCCCTCCCACCCCAGGAGGCCAGACCATAGTTCCCTTTTATTTTATGACCCTCTTCTCTCTGACTGTTCCCTCAGCGTGCGACTGCGAGTCAGACTTCACAGACGGGACTTGTGAAGACATGACGGGCCGCTGTTACTGCAGGCCGAACTTCACGGGAGAACAGTGTGCCGCCTGTGCTGAGGGCTACGTGGACTTCCCACACTGCTACCGTGAGGGCCGGTGTGGGAGTTGGTTGGGAAGGCCCAGGATCACTGCCTGAGGGGATTGAAGGGCCTAGGAAGGGTGGAAGACCCAAGACCCAAGATCCCTGGGGGTGGTCTGTGGTACCGGAGCCAGAGAGCCTGCCCCACAGACCTGGTTGACAAGTGTATGATATCTCTCCCTCAGCTCTGTCTTCGTTTCCCCACAATGACACGGGAGAACAGGTGCTTCCCGCTGGACAGATCGTGAGTAAGTACCCCGAGGTCATCGGGACCCACGGGATGCAGTTGTGCACAGACGACCAGTTTTTATCTTAATCATCTTTCATTCTGTCTGTTAACTTTTGAAGTTAACTTTTATTTCATGTGTATACATGTTTGTGTGTGTGTGTGTGTGTGTGTGCGCGCGCGCGCCTTGTGCTCATAGAGGCAGAAAAAGTGTTTTATCCGTCTGGTCCTGGAGTTACAGTTCTGAGCCGCCATGTGGGTGCTCGGTCCTGAATCTCCATCCTCTGTGAGAATAGCCAGTGCTTTAAACTGCTGAGATGTGTCTTCAGCACGGTCACATGAGAAACCTTCCCGAAGCTCTGCTTGGGGCTGTAGCCGTGGTACAGTGCATGGCCTTTTTGTTACAAAGCTCTCCGTTCCGTTGTCAGCACTTCAGCAAACCCAGAAGGCAAAGAACCCTCTCCGTGCACCCCGAACTCCATGTGTGTACGCACGCCCATTCTTATAAACACTGCAGTGAACCACACATGCCGTTTAGAGGTTGTGTCTTCCCCTACCACAGTTGTGTAAACATGGCCTTCCACAGCTGTGTTGTAGACAGATGGAGTATCCAATTAACCAGCCACCCTGCCCGCCTTCAGAAAGATGTCCCAACAAACATCCGGGCATGAACGACTTTTCATGGTTTCGTCTCCACAGGGTGTTTCCCAGACGTCAGCAGGCCCTGGCTTAGCAGACTTGCATATGTTGTGGCCTTTTGCCCGGGTGCCAAGTCAGCTCCCTAACATAAGACAGCACTGGTGATGCACTGGCTGTGTGCATGGCTGCTGGCTGGACCATTGCCGACCTGCATGGTAGCCTCTGTTGTCTGCTTAAGCAGAGCCCTTTTTCCTAACGCAGAGACCGGGGCCCCTGGCCCCCTTCTCAGTGTTTCTGGGTTGGAGGGTCGCACCTTTTAGATAATTTTTTTTTTCACTGTTGGCAGGATCGTATCCTTCCAGGGCAGGACAGAAGTGGAGACTGTTTCTCAGTAGCCTGGCCCTGCGTGTTTGTGTGTGATACCTCTGGCTGGTTTGGAATGCCTGTGGCCCCCACCTTCCAGCCATTTCCTCATGACTTATCCATCCACCCTCTTTGCCCATCTTTTCTTTAGCCCTAGAAACCCTCTCGCTGGGGTTTCCTTCCAACTCCGAAGTCAGTAACCTGACCCCTGACTGTCCTTATTGACGTCAGTCTGGGCCTCACCTGTCCTCTTGTCCCTCCTTCTTTTCCAGCTAACCTTTCCTTTCTGGACTTTTGCTAGCTGGAGAAGCAAAGTGTGTTCCTGTTGGGCTATGCCCTAACTGACGGCTTTGAGAGTTTGCTGTCTTTTTTTTTTTTTTTTTTTTTTTGAGATGGGTTTCTTGCATAGCCCTAGCCATCCTGGGACTAGCTATGTAGACCAGGCTGGGCTCAAGCTCCCAGAGATCCAACCACCTGCCTCTGACCCCTAAGTGCTGGGATTAAAGGCATGTGGCTTCTCCATGTGGCTTCTGTCTATGTTCTGATTACTCGGCTACTGCTACACTCCCCACCAACCCCAGGCCATTATTCCTGTCAGGATCAACAATCAGATGTTCAAAGTACTCTCTGCTGCATGATTTGGCCACCTTTTCCCCAACTCCCAGAAATAATGATAAATCCAGAAATTTCTGTCTGGCTTGTCATTTTAGTCTTTCCCCTGTTTGTGTTCTTGTTAATTAGGAGCCTCTGTTAAAACTGATGAATTAACAGCTGTGGTGATGGTGGTGTGTGTGTGTGTTTTAAGACCAAGGTCTGAACCTTGGCTGGCTGAGGACTAGCTGTGTAGACCAGGCTGGCTTTGAACTCACAGAGAGCCACCTGCTTTTGTTTTTCAAGATAGGGACTAGAGGCTTGCACCACCACACCCTGCCAGATAGATGGTTAGAATCTGCAATTCATCACTGTTTTCCTAAAGTGCCAGCTTCTGGAGTTTTTACTTCTTTTTGGATCCTAATTTGTGTTAAGTAAATGTGCAAAAATGTGACTTTGTAGAAAAGCTGGTCTTTCAAGCAGGAGGATTGGGCTCTGCCTGTGTCTAAGCCTCTCCCCACCTTCCTCCCAGACTGTGACTGCAATGCCGGAGGGACCCAGGGCAACGCCTGCCGGAAGGACCCGAGGTTGGGACGCTGTGTCTGCAAACCCAACTTCCGGGGCGCCCACTGTGAGCTCTGTGCTCCCGGATTCTTCGGGCCTAACTGCCACCGTGAGTGCCCCCCCTCATCCACTCGTGAGGTGCCCCTGCACCAAGTAAGCCCTGACCAATCAGTTGTTCTTCTCTTTGCAGCATGCCAGTGTTCCAGCCCTGGGGTAGCCAATGGCCTCTGTGACCCAGAGTCTGGCCAGTGCACATGCCGCACCGGCTTTGAGGGGGACAGGTGTGACCACTGTGCCCTCGGCTATTTCCACTTCCCTCTCTGTCAGCGTGAGTGGCATCCCTCCATGTGGGCACAGGTGGCTGGGGTGCCTGAGGGGCAGCCTGCTCCCATCAGGATCCTAGTAACACATTCTACTCTACAGTATGTGGCTGCAGCCCAGCAGGGACCCTGCCTGAAGGCTGCGACGAGGCTGGCCGTTGCCAGTGCCGACCCGGCTTTGACGGTCCTCATTGTGACCGCTGCCTTCCAGGCTACCATGGGTACCCCGACTGTCATGGTGAGCAGAGAATTGAAGGAAGAAGGAATCAACCCGTCCCCACAGGACCAGGGTCTGACCCTCTCAACCCCTGCCTGTGTTTCCATAGCTTGTGCCTGTGACCCTCGGGGGGCCCTGGATCAAGAGTGTGGAGTGGGCGGTTTGTGCCGCTGCCGTCCTGGTTACACAGGCACCACTTGTCAGGAATGTAGCCCCGGCTTCTACGGCTTCCCCAGCTGCATCTGTAAGTTTCTTGGGAGAATGAGGGCATGCAGTTCATAGCCCTGCTTTGTACCCACATGCTGGTTTCTCTGCATAGCCTGCCACTGCTCTGCCGATGGCTCCTTGCATACAACCTGTGACCCTACAACCGGCCAGTGCAGGTGCCGGCCCCGAGTGACAGGACTACGGTGTGATATGTGTGTGCCAGGGGCCTATAACTTCCCCTACTGTGAAGGTGAGCTGGGGGTGGTGGAGCGGAGGAGTGTCCTGTTTGTGTAATCTGTGCACTGTTCACGGAGGTCAGCTCATGTGTGCATCCAGGGACTGTGTTCTGTAGCTGTGCTCATGTGCTGTATCTTCTTAAGGTTGTTCGTGTGCTGTGTTCACATGTGATGGTTCTGTGTGCCACGCGTGTTCCGTGCTTTGTGAATCTTCATGCACTTGAATCATTCGTGTGACTTCTGTGTACATGTTATATGCATTTACTGTGTGTGGATGAGTGCCCATGTATATTCATTCGTGTGGCCGCTTGCAGCATGGTGGAGTTGGGGGAGGAGACGTGTGCCCTTGTCTTGGTGGCGAGGATGGGGAGGTCCATGTTTTCACACCTGCTCACACCCGCAGGAGGGACCTGGGTTCTGCTGGGACTGGGGAGCCCTTGACCCTGGGGAAGCCCTGTCAGTGAGGAATGATCAAAGTTTGGTCCTCTCTTCATAGCTGGCTCTTGTCATCCTGCTGGTCTGGCTCCAGCCAATCCTGCCCTTCCTGAGGTAAGCATAGGATCGCCCATGCCCGCCATGAAGCCCAGAGAGACGCTGGTCCCACTGCTGCTTGTTTGCTACGGCAACCTCGGGGCATTTACTCCTTCTGCTGGTTCTTTCTTTCTATCCTGGGTGGCTGCCAAGCGTGGGGTAAGGCGGGTGAGGGGCTTCGGCCCACTTCTTTCCCTCACTCTCAGGCACAGGCTCCCTGTGAGTGCCGGGCTCATGTGGAGGGGCCAAGCTGTGACCGCTGTAAACCTGGGTACTGGGGACTCAGCTCCAGCAACCCTGAAGGCTGCACACGTGAGTCTGCCCTAGAGGGACGGTCAGGGGTTTGAGGGATAGGCCTGTCCCCCGCTCCTATCCCCCAGGGCTCTCAATACTGCTCTGCTCTCCCCAGGCTGCAGCTGTGACCCACGAGGCACGCTGGGTGGAGTTACTGAATGCCAGGTAAATCAGTGTCAGGGTATTGGGTTGGGGTCTAGGGTCAAGTGTATTATTACCTCAACAAGTTTCACTTCCTATTCCCCCTTAGGACAATGGACAGTGTTTCTGCAAAGCCCATGTGTGTGGCAAGACCTGTGCGGCCTGCAAGGACGGCTTCTTTGGCCTGGATCACGCTGACTACTTTGGCTGCCGTGGTAAGTGCTCATACCCCAGTCATTGTCTGTACTGTGTCATACACACGGGAAGACTGAGGCCCAGGGAGAGACAAGTGGGTCAGGCAGGGAGGGGGGGTCTCACTCTGACAACAGCAGGAGGATCAGACAGACGGTCAACCTCCCCCCAACCCCACCATCGCCACTGCCAGCCTGTGCTGGGAGTATCAGCTCTGTTCTGACACGTGGCCCTTTGCTCCATCCTGTGTTCATAGCAGACATCACTAATCCATCCCAGTTCCCTTGCCCCCGCCCCCGCCCCCGCCCCTAAGTAGACCCTAAGAGTTGATGTTAGTTTATCTACTGAGGGTGGGTAGAGAGAGACCTGCCTATGGGGCCTAACCTGGAAGGTTGTGAGAGGGACCCCAGAGGGTGCTGGGGGTTCGCCAGCCTCTGACTCTTTTCCTTTTTTCCCAACACAGGCTGCAGGTGTGATGTTGGCGGTGCTCTGGGTCAGGGCTGTGAACCAAAGACAGGTGCCTGCAGGTGCCGCCCTAACACTCAGGGCCCTACCTGCAGCGAGTAAGTTCCTTCCACTGACTTGGCCTGGGCTGGGGGCGCAGCATGTATGGTATCCCCCCACCCCCCATGTTCTTGCCAGGAGCCCACATGGTACCCAGCTACCCCTGGGAAATCTGGGTGGCCATGTAGGGCCCGTGCCTGTCCCGCTCAGACACCTGTGCCATGGCAGGCCAGCAAAAGACCACTACTTGCCAGACCTGCATCACACGCGGCTAGAACTAGAAGAAGCAACCACTCCCGAGGGCCATGCTGTACGCTTCGGCTTCAACCCCCTGGAGTTTGAGAACTTCAGCTGGAGAGGCTACGCACACATGACAGCTATCCAGGTGGACCATGCTGCCCCCTCCCTGGGCTTGATGCAGAGATAGAACCTGCTGGGTGTCTGCGGTGGCTGGCCAGCAGAACAAGCTGCATCTTGGGATCAGGGGACCCAGGTCAGTCAGTGGTCAGGGGAAAGACGTGTTGTCTTACATCCACCACAGCCCAGGATTGTAGCCAGACTGAATGTGACCTCCCCTGACCTGTTTCGGCTGGTCTTCCGATATGTCAACCGTGGATCAACCAGCGTGAATGGGCAGGTCTCTGTCCGTGAAGAGGGCAAGCTTTCCAGCTGTACCAACTGTGAGTGGGGTCTGCTCGCCGCTTCCTTTCCTACCCCATATCATCCAGGTCCTGCGGGAGGTGGACCCGGCCTGTATCACCTTCCTTCTGGCCCCATGGGAGGTGTATGTTACATGGGAGACGTACAGACTCGGGTGGTCTGTGGATTGAGCCCGAGTGTCTTATCCTCTTCACCCCAGGCACAGAGCAGAGCCAGCCAGTGGCCTTCCCACCCAGCACTGAGCCTACCTTTGTCACTGTGCCCCAGAGGGGCTTTGGGGAACCCTTTGTGCTGAACCCCGGCATCTGGGCCTTACTGGTTGAGGCTGAAGGTGTACTCTTGGTGAGGCAAGAGCCACAGCAGGGTGGGGAGGGCCCTGGGCCCCAGAGCCTTTGTATACTCACCCCCTACCTCTCTCAGGACTACGTGGTCTTACTGCCCAGCACCTACTATGAGGCAGCTCTGCTACAGCATCGAGTAACCGAGGCCTGTACCTACCGTCCCTCAGCCCTGCACTCCACAGAGAAGTAAGGTCCTGCAGGATGAGTTGGGGCTGGATCCTGCATGGACCTGTGCTGACCTCCGTCCATTTCTCTTCTCTAGCTGTCTCCTCTATGCTCACCTACCCCTGGATGGCTTCCCTTCAGCAGCTGGAACTGAGGCCCTGTGTCGCCATGACAACAGCCTGCCCCGGCTCTGTCCCACAGAGCAGCTCAGCCCTTCACACCCGCCGCTGGCAACCTGCGTAGGCAGTGATGTGGGTATCTGAGGGCCTGTGGGGGAGTGGGTACTGTGGACCTTAGACTGGAGGAGGGGCCCTGTCTCAATGGCAGAGGGAGTGGGAGCAAGGCAGGGTTGTAAGATGGTGGAGCTGCCTTGCATGACCTGGAGTGGCTGTTGCTGTCCCTAGTGGACACTGGGTGTAATGCAGAAATTTACCTAGCTTTTCTGCTTCCTCCAATTGGAGATGCCCTGGGCTCCAAGATCTAGCTGTAGGTAGGCAGCTATGGGAAGGATGAGAACTATGGGTCTCTGGTCACCCTGCCCTATCTCAGGTGGATATCCAGCTTGAGATGACAGTGCCTCAGCCAGGCCGATATGCTCTCGTGGTGGAATATCTCAGTGAGGATTCACACCAGGAGATGGGAGTGTCAGTGCACACCCCTCAGAGAGCCCCCCAGCAAGGGATGCTCAACCTCCACCCCTGCCCATACAGGTAAGCTTAGAACAGGAAAGGGCGGACAGGAAGACCCTGCCCAGGACTTTCCATTTACAGTGCATCTCTTCCTTAGCTCCCTATGCCGGAGTCCGGCTCGGGATACCCAGCATCATCTAGCCGTCTTCTACCTGGACTCTGAGGCCAGCATCCGGCTCACAGCTGAGCAGGCTCACTTCTTCCTGGTAAAATCCCCTGAGTCCTTGCCCCAGGGTGGCTTCTGCTAGCATATTTTAAGTATGTATAACATACTTAAGTATGTAAAACAGAGTCCCGGGAGTTCCTGTGGTGTGGGGTGTAGTTTGTTTGGCCTTGCTTACTTGCCTGTGAAGTGGCTTATGCAGAGGCAGTGTGCTTGGCCTCTGAGCTGGGAGCCCAAAATATAGGTGGGATAGAGACAGAGTAAATAAGTGGGGGTGGGGGACCCTAGAAATCGTCACCACTTCTGCACCCGTGTGTGGGCTCCAGACAGAGGACAGGAGTGATGGAGTGTAGGCTCAGTGGATTCCTGGGATCCAAAGTATGTGGTCGGCCATACCGATCCCACCATGCATGCCTCCTGTCCTCAGCTGCCTGGGGAGTAGCAGCATATTGCCCTTCTCCCCACAGCACAGTGTCACCCTGGTACCTGTGGAGGAGTTCAGCACTGAGTTTGTGGAGCCCCGGGTCTTCTGTGTGAGCAGTCATGGAACTTTCAACCCCAGCAGGTAGTGGGGCCGGGAGCGGCTAGGGTGAGGAACAGGGAACTGTTGGCCAGGAGAGTGTTCTCACTCACCATACTTCCCAGCGCTGCCTGTGTAGCCTCCCGATTCCCAAAGCCACCGCAGCCCATCATCCTTAAGGACTGCCAGGTCTTGCCGCTGCCTCCCGACCTGCCTCTGACTCAGTCACAGGAGCTCGCACCGGGTGCACCCCCAGCAGGACCACAACCTCGGCCACCAACTGCGGTGGACCCCAACGCAGAACCCACTTTGCTGCGTCACCCGCAGGTGAGGGCTCAGGGCAGACGGAAGCCTCTCCAGGGATGGGGGTGAGGCAGGGCGGAGCTCCCTGTCCTCTGCTACTCCGTGACAGATGCTGCAGACAGAGGTGGGGCCAGCTGTTCCCCATTCTGGCCGCTCATCAGAGACTCTCTTCAACAGGGCACAGTGATCTTTACCACCCAGGTGCCTACCCTGGGCCGCTATGCCTTCCTGCTGCACAGCTACCAACCGGTCCACCCTTCCTTCCCTGTGGAGGTACTCGTCAACAGTGGCCACATCTGGCAGGGTGAGTAGCTGGCTGCACCACAGTGTCGAGGGAACAAAAACTGGATGCTGTCAAGTTTTCAAACTAAGTGCCCAATGGGTGCAGTGAGTGGTAACTCCAAACACCCGTTCCCTGTATTAGAGCTCTTCTATGTTTGTTTATAAGGAGTTTTGAGAGCCGGGCGGTGGTGGCGCACACCTTTAATCCCAGCACTTGGGAGGCAGAGGCAGGTGGATTTCTGAGTTTGAGGCCAGCCTGGTCTACAGAGTGAGTTCCAGGATAGCCAGGGCTACACAGAAAAGCCCTGTCTCAAAAGAAAGAGAGAGAGAGAGAGAGAGAGAGAGAGAGAGAGAGAGAGAGAGAGAGAGAGAGAGA